TTAGGGTTTTAAGAAAGTTATTTTGCAAAAAAAGTGTGCGCTATTTGGTTGGTAGTTTTACATCTTTAAAAGGGTAAGTTGTCGAACAACTCATTTGTAATTGAATCATAGTCAAGTAATGTGTTTCTTGGGATCTTATATTTTATTTCTTTAATGCAGTTTACACTTTTCAGTGCTTATCAGCCAGATTGTAGTAAAAAGAACTAAAACATATCGACAATATTAATCCCTTTTTAGCCTATCTCTGACTAGACCATCTCATTTTCCAAGAATTCCTATATTAATGTATCTGTACCATGGTATCAAATAAGAAAAAAAATGTATAACTGTATAATCTTTACCAGTGGACTCAAGCCTCTAGGTTCCATCCCTCCTTAATGTCCAGGTGTATGTCATATATTTTATATATGCCACTTATTGCCAGTGTTATCGAGGCGCAAAGCGCAAAGCGCAATGCGGGGCGCAAAGGTCCCTTACGCGCACCATGCGCAAAGCGCACAACGAGGCGCGCGCCTCATTAATTGAGGCGCATAACTCAAACTAATATTTGCCAACATCATAAGACAGAAACATATAAGCAACATATTAGTTACCTACATCCAAAATTATGAGAATATCAACTTAAATCATCAAATTATGCTAACTGAATTTTTAAAGTAATAAAAAAGATACAAGAAACATGTATTTAAATCATAAAATTAAGTGATTAACAATTATGAGCATATGTTTATAAATTGTCACATAAAAGACTAAGAAATATAATTAACAAACATGACTGTTCATAATTTTCTAGTTAGTATTCTTAATTGATATTTGCTACTTAGCATGAAAAGATGAAGAATGAATGTAACAATTACATATTTACATGTTTATAATTTGCTAGTTAGCATGCTAATTAGAGAATGAAGTTACACTTAGCAAACAAGTATACTAAATTACTAATTATTGTTTCCTTTTTATAGGTTAAACATAAAAAGATGAAAATAGATTAGCAACTAGTAAGAAAGAGTATATTACATGATATAAATATGTAATTATGTAAATTATTTAAAAAAATAGAAGAAAGAGTATGTTACATAACGCAGGTGTGAGGCGCACGTGAGGCGCGCGCGAGGCGCACGCGAGGCGCAAGTGAGGCGCACGCGAGGCGCACGCCTCGCTGCGTGCAGCGCCCCGCCTCGCGTGCGGGGCGCATTTCCCCCAGGCCGAAGCGCCCCGCGCCCGGGGCGCGCGCCTCAATAAGCCTGATGTGACATATTATGATAGCAACAATAATGACAATTACTAACTTATATCTATGACGTACTGATTAGTGGTTCCATTAATAGGAATGGGGGATTCAGAGACTGAGACGGGCACTCAGATTGAGGGTGTGGAATCAAGCAAAGATTCATGGAAAAGTGACTCTGAGGATATGGACTATAGCGATGATTCATGGAAGCCCAATTCTGATTATGGTGTGCGTGTGTGCGTGTGCGTGTGGTGTGTGTGCGCGCGTGCGTGTGTGCGTGCATGTGCGTGTACAAAGAAACTAAAGCAAATATATAACGATAATCAATTTAAGTCTTGAAAAGGATTTGAGAATTGAGATTACATGAAAGCCAGTAGATTATCTCTAACAATTATCCTTTCTTGTACATAAGATTAAATTTCTCGCATGCACCTAAGAATATTAGTTGAGTGAAGTTCAAAAGTGAAATCCTAACTAGGACTGTGCATGGTTTGGTCTAGGCTGAAAAAACCGATCGAACCGACCGAAAATTCACAGTTCGGGTCGGGTTTTTTTTAGATTGGTTCGGATCAGGTTGAAAAATTTTCAACCCGAACCGACCGCATCACTAGTAACCCCATAATTTTTAAACCGTACCCATTAGAAACCATACCCAACCTGTTCATTGTTAAATGATTCCCTCAATACCTAAACCCTAAATCAAAGCCCGCAGGTCCGTTATCTGCATCCTCTGGAAAGAAAAAAGACCACAGGCGCAAGGCGCAAGGCCGCAAGCGTAGCTTCTCGAGTTGACTCCGACTCACCGACGTCGCCTACGACTCGTCGTCATCGCCTCTGACTTGCCGCCTCACTGCCGACTCGAATTTCCTTCACTCGCCGCCAAGTAGCCACTCGTCATCATCTTCATGGCCGAGACCGAACCATCTCCTCATGGTCCATCTGCTTTGGAGACACCCGCACTCGTAGTGGAGGTATAAACTGAAAACCCTAATTTTGAATCTATGCTTTCAGGGAAAAAGATCCAAACCTTTTAATTCTTGATACATGTTACTAAATTGTAGATTAGTGAGAAATAGTTGGTTTAATTAAATTTTATGATTGAGATTGATTTAGTTCTTAGCTTCTTGTTGTATGTTAGTAAAGTGTACTGAAAAAGTAAAAATCCTAATTTTGATTTTATGCATATTAGTGTGCTAAAAAGTTAAAAACCCTAATTTAGTTGAAAAATTTTAGTTGAATGCATATTGATTAGAACTGAACAAACCGAACCGAACTGCACCGAACCGACTTGCAACAGTTCGGTTTTGACTAATGGGCAGTTCGGTTCGGTTGTTTAAAATTTGATAAAAACCGAACCGACCGATCGTTTGCACAACCCTAATCCTAACTAAAGCTGACTACTATATAGAACCTGGGAAATCTTATTGTAACAACACATAATTTTTTATGATTAATCTATTATGAATCAATGGATCTATATGCATTTGTAATAAGTATTTACAAACTAACTTTGACATGATGTACCAAAAAGAAAATTAGAATCTGCAGATGTAAAAAGCATAAGAGGCTTTATGTAAAATTCAAGGAGACATGTCCTTGGATGAAATTGAGGAGAGGTGGAGGTGGAATGCAAAGAATGAGGGAAGGGAAACATGTCCCGTGGCTAAGCATGAGGTGGACAGGGATACTTAATCCCTTCTCCCCTCGTTTACTCCTTCAGAAGCAAAAGAAAGAACACACACACAGAGAGAGAAGAGAGAGAGAGAGAGAGAGAGAGAGAGAGGAGCAGGAGCAAGCTGAGAAAAGAAAAGGCAAGTTGCAGGAAGATATAAAAAGAAAAAAAAGAGAAGGGAGGGGAGAAGCTGTAGTTTGGAGCAAGAAGAAAAGGGAAAAAAGAAAAGAAAGGAGTTGCTAGGAGAAAAAGGAAAAGAGTGGAGCCATCCGTGAAATGCAAAAGAAAATATAAACAAGACTGAAGAGGAAGCAATATGAAAGAGCTAGAGAGGAAAGTCATTTTTGTTATTTAAGGTAAATCCTGAAGTCCTAAAGTGCTCTTTTGATATATGAATCATATGTGTTAGCCTTTTATATTAATATTTGAATTCGTTAAGAAAATTGAGAAATTAATAGAGGGGCGTGATTACTTATTGTACAGGTACATGTTTATGGATTAATCCGGAAATTGATACTTATATATGTACAGAGATGAAATAATTTATGTTTGAGCCTCCAATGTTATGAATATTCTATGATCACCTAGCAGTATTTGGAAATTACAGAAACACCTCCCTCCAGTTTTTGAAACTACAGAAATGCCCCTATGACAATCAAGGTAGTTTTACTGTTTTGGAGCTTCAAAATACTTCTATAAAGTATGTAAAGATATTAAGGATTGTTCTTAGACAATCAGAAAGATTACATGCTAGAATAAGTAGAGTTGAGAAGGTAGTTACAAAGTGTGCAAGTATAAACATATGTATTTAGTGACAATTGATATTTATCTATGTGTCTATACTAGGAAAGCCTAACAATAAATATCAGCAAGTGGGGTTACATATTCTTTAATTTATGATTTTCTCATAATTTTCCTACAAATGCTATATTTTATTGTGCAAGCATGGAATTCATGTTAAAAGTATGTTTTAAGATGTTCCATGACTGATGTAAGCACAAGTTAATGTTTTTCGAATTTGTCACCTAGATATTTGATTTTTCCCGTTGCAGACTATGCACGGCATGCAAGTTTATCAAATGATATTTGAATGATATTGACACATAAATTGCGCTTTTCGTCAGTTAATGGTGTACATCAAGAAATGAAGTAGGTTGCAGGCCTATCAAGGGAGTGGGGTGTTATAAACTGGCAGATTGTCACGGTAGGCGGTTTGGTTCCATATGACGTAAAAGGCAGAGCATCATGGTAGGCAGCCTTTTTAGGCAGATCACCTCTACAGGCACTCTAATTGTCTAGATAGGGTGTGATATTGCTTAATTTCCATGCATAAAATTGCTTCAAAAGGTTTGTATATTTATTATAAACTCCACGCTTGGACAATATTCTATTATGTGCATGGTTTCGGAGTTAGGCTTCGCAAGTCCTCTTGATAAGAGGATTTGTGACCAACTGTTACGTGCCTTGATTTTATTATTATTTTCACTAATATTTGTGTTGGTTCGGGGCTTGACACTTATGTTTAAAGTGTTCAGACCAACAAGCATGGGTATCAACAAGGCTCCTATTTAATAGGTGAAATTGGAAGCTCACACTTTTGCAATCAAGAAAACGCCTGTTGAGCTAGATCTAATATTTGAAGATTTTGATGCAAACAATCTAACACCTTCATTTACATTATGTAAAAGGATCTAGACATCTGTCAGAAAAATTAAATCACCATATACAAATACAGGCAATTGCTTCACGGGCACTGTTCACCCCAAATTCATTGGCTCAGCTTTGAGTTCGTGTGAATTTGTTACCTTAAACAGCCTCAGTCATCACGTCGTGAGAGGTTTTGGATCCAAACCTTCTTTAGCCCCAGTGGTTCTATCTTCCGAAGAGAGCCATTAATCAGCACAGCCTCACATTATTTAAATCCTCTCTAGGGGAGTGCTCATATTTCTAGATATATAAATTTTCATCCACAATCCATGAGCATAATCTTTTGGGTATATCGGTTACTCACAACTCCTTTATCTCAGTGTAAGAAACCCACCGCAATAAAACTGTGGAACAACACTTTTCCTGCTGCTCTTCTTCAGAAGACCAAAATGGGTTAACATTATATTTTGTCCTTAGTGTAACATAATGTTAATGCAACTATTATAAGTCTGCTTCAAACTAAATCTCCTATTTGCAACTATCATATGAGTGTAAAACGCTGTTTAAAAGCACAAACAGTGATAAGATCAGAGAAGCGTTGATTTAGATAACATTGTAAAATTACTAAATATCAAATAACTTAACTAAGTAAACACACCTTGCATAATGGCCAAAATTAATGCAGTGGTACGACAAACAGTCCTGAGTTGTGTTCCCACTATGACCAATGTAATTCATGATCTCATCTGCGAAAGGAAAACAGGCACAAGTATAGGGTTACTTATGTGTGCATGCAACACCAACTATGATATACGCTTGTAACTGTTTCAAATTTGTTGATCATCAAGAACCAATAAACCATCTCATAGTAGAAGTAACACTATTTACACGGATTCTCGGTCTACAACAAGTTAGATGTGATTCTAGATTTGTTTCTTTAACAAATTTTAAAAACAATGACACTTATATTCCCAAAATCGCCTCCATAAGAACTGGCAAAGAATGATGACAATTTTTTATCAACTTGCAGATTGGAAGGGAGCAATTTCACATTCCAGTTCGATGATTTGAAGTCCCAAGGGCTGACAAGAACATGATCAGGTGAATTTATAAGCGGTTATTTAGAAAATTATAAGAAACAATGTTACATCAAATAGTTGATAAATGATTGATGATTCATAGTTGTGTAACATAATTAGACCAAAACCCTGATGTATGTGATTCTAAGACCAAAAACCTCCAACCCCTTCCCCCTTCCCTGGGAGAAAGAAAACTTGTGAAGGAAGTAGTCATGATGAACTGGTTTCTGAGTGTGAATGTAAATAAAGAGCAGAGCACAACCTAGGATTACCAATATTCCATTTTGACATAGGCTTTGCAATCAGACAAAGGAGAAAAAATCAATGTCCAAAAAGATCATCTTATAACTAAGTATATAATTATCATCCTTTAGTTATGGAGAAAAACCCTAGTGATGCTTATTATTTTGTGAGTGATACTAGATCTGCAATAAATGCTAGCCTCCATTGCAGCATCATATGTTCACATTGCATAAGTGTCGACGATGTGATAGGATATGACTGCAGTGTTCATGTGTGCGTTTGTATGTGTAATGACCCGACTTTGATTCAATTTTTCATTCACAGATTCTGTTACCGTCATAAGCAATTAGAATAGTTGCAGTTTCTAACTAGCAGTGCTACTCTTTTCTGGATAGATGAGAAAGGAAAAAGTTACTTAGATTGAGACTTAAACTATGTGATAGTTCACAAATAGTATCACATGTAGTTATCGTTTTGTTATCTATTCCAATTTTTGAAGCCTCGCAGACAGACCGGATCTCCATCGATTGGAATTATTTTTGTTTGCCCATGACAGCTTCCCAAAAGAAGGAAATTATACTAACAAAACTACTCTCGCCCTGAAGACAAGAGTGTTAGCACACTCAACCCAACAATAGACTTTCTTGAAAGGCAAGTGTTTAACATGAAGCAACTAAGAAAAGTATAGGCATTACTTGATTGTGCAATGCCTCGAGAAACAAATTATGAGAAGGTCAAAATAATAAAGAAGATATGCCCCGATTATATAACAAGAAGTAAGAAACAGGGAAAACATCAGATTCGTTTAGGAAGTCACGGCTTCCCTTTTGGCTGTTTAACTGATAATTTTAAAATTCTGAAGACTTAATAAATATCAAAAGCAGTGACAGTTCAATGACATAGGCATAAATAATGCAGAAGTCACTCATGGTGAAATCCAATGTGAATGCAACTGCATGTACAAGTAGTAATGCTCACAAGTAAAACTTCTTACTCACTATAAGAATGGGAAGAAAAGCTATATTACCTGATATTTTCACTCCACCAATGTGCCCATCAGATGTAGGAAGCAAAGCTCTCTCTGCAGCTTCGTCTAAGCAACTAGTAAAGGACTAAACTTAGTCAAAACAAATTGCGCTTGGAAAATACAGCATAACTTCATTTCATTCATTTTCAATTCAACCTCAATTGTGGCAAGAAATATTTAATTCTCGTTTGTAGCAAGTATGCATACTTCTTGCATTTAACTTTGAATTTAATAAACAAATTCTAGCTGGAAATCTCCTACGCTCATTTCATCAAGTGTGCATACCTTTGTAGGTGAGCTTCCCAATAAAGTTGTTGCCAGTCTACACAGCCGTCCCCAGATCTTGACATTGCTAATGCATCCTGCATAATATTTGAACCAGTTTCCATTTTCTCCAAATCCTGCAATCGCCAGTCAACGAAGTCATCCACCGGTCTTGATATTGCTACGTCACCATCCGGAATGATTGAGTTAGTGTGCCGCATTTTCTCTATAGCCATGGGCCATCGCTTCTTATACAATATTTTCCATGCTGTGTTGAAGTTATCATGCCTGACAACAGTTATAGTTTATATGAATAATTATGAAAGTGTCATCTATTCCATTAAA